CTGTAAGCCAAACAAACCATTTCTTTTGTAAGGTGTCTTTGGACATGGTGTTTAACACAGCAACAGAAAAGTAAGTAATACGCTATCTTAAAACATTCTAATTAATCAAAATACTTTACTACGGCTAGTGAGATGGTTCAGGGGATGAAGGTGCTTGCTGCATAAGCCTGACAACCTGAGTTTGATTCTGGAACCTATATAAAGGTGGAAGGAAAGAACATGTGCTGTGGCACATATATACTTGCACTCATATATATCACACCTCACACACACAAATATATTTACATATAAAATATGAAATTGTCAAAGAATAAATAAAAATGTGTATGAGCCAGGCATGGTGGTACACACCTTTTAATCCCAGCACTTGGGAGACAGAGACAGGTGGAGCTCTGTGAGTTCCAAGCCAGCAACAGAGATCCTGACTCAAACAAAACAAAACAAAAAACAAAAAGTTTATTAAAAAAGTAAAATATGCAGGATTTTTTATTTGTTTGCCTCATATGAGCCATAGGGTAGACTGTTATGGGCTCATTTTTACACCCCCCCTTTTTGAGACAGGGTCTCACTGTAGCCCCAGCCGTCCTGGAACTCTACATATATCTACATAGAGTCTTAGACCCTAGTATCTCAGAATGTGACTACTGTGGACTGTACTGTGTCCTTCCCATATTAATGTCCTAAAGACTTTGGAAATGGGGCCTGCGACAGGTAATTAAATGAAGTCCTGAAGGCGGGACCCTTACATGATTAGCGCCCTTGTAGGGGATCCCAGAGGGTTAGAGCTTTCTTTTTCTCTCTCATAGCAAGAAGATGACTGGTTGCAGCCAGAAAGTGAGCCCTCACCAGAACCCAAACATGTCAGTATCCTGATATCTGACTTCCACTCTTCAGAACTGTAACAAAATAACCCCTGTGATTTAAGCCACTCCAGTCTATAGTATTCTGCTGTAGCAGCCTGTGCTGACAATACAGAAACCTATTTGAGAACTGTTCTTGTCCCTGTAGTAACAAAGATGAGGTCACAAGTGGAACTTAATCCACTATGACTGGTGTTCTTATAAAAAGAGAAAGATACACAAAGAGGCAGATATGAGAGGTGCACAGAGGGAGAGGATATGAGGAGGCACAGAGACAGCCAGCCATGCACAAGCCAAGGAGACAGGCCTGGATCATAAAGAGCCTTCCTTCAGGGCCCAGGAAGTCAACCGTGCCAGCATCTTGATCTGAGATGTCCCACCTCCAACTGTGAGACAATGCATTGTATGTGAGCTGCCTCACTTGTGACATCTGTGCAATCTAGCAGATGAATACAAAGCCCTGAAAACTCAGCCCAGTTTCCTATTAGGAAACAACTTGTGAGACCCCTACATGCTCTGGAAAAGTCAGATACACATTACTGTGTAGTAAATAACATTTTAAATGCAACTCTTCCATTTTAATAAAGTTCTCACAGTGAAAATTCGCTGTGTCTATAGCAACGTAAGTCATGAACTTACCAGTAAGTCTTCCCTGTTGTATATCTGGATATTTACTAAATATGAGAAATAGTGCTACTTAGTTAAATTTAGGATGAAACTAACACTTCCATGAAAGTTGGCATTTTAAGAGAATATTAAATGTTTTCTTTAAAATAATACCCAGATGTCCTCATGAATTTAAATCTATGAGAAAAATTCAAAATAATATTATCCAGACTTTTTAGAGTATGATATTGAGAATATTGATTTTATTTTCAGCAATAAGCTACTGGAGATTGAAGTATCTGGGTTTCAGCTATAGAAGAAAGTAATCTAAAGACAGTAGGAAAGTCAATCCTTTTAATACGATCTCCCTGGCAATAAGGGAAGGAGCACAGTCTGGTGGATGAAATGGAAGCTGCAGACTCTCAATTTCAGACCCCAACATTAACTCACCACAGAAAGCCACACTTGTATCTTAGAATTTCATCTATGCTTAAACACAGGCACTCTGGCTTTGCTCAACAAAAAAGGCATTGCCTAGGTCCTTGGAATGATACATCCACTTTACTAGATTCATACTATTACATCTATGTTCTGAGACAATATAGGCTTATACTTACCTTATTTCTAGGTTGTAGCATGGATATAAGCAGCCATGGATGGATGGAATCACGATTAAGATGCCCAAATTTCATGGAAAGGTAAGACAAAAATGATCCCATCTGAAGGATCTACTGTATTTTTACAAATTACCATGATAAAAGAGAATCCACATTTTAATAACAAGTATTTGGAATGTGACTGGCGATTAACTGAGCACTCAGACTATATATACTGTTTGGTTTTCCTTTTTGTATCTGCAGTAAGGAAACCTTTTCACTAGGAAACTGCACAGCAATAATGCATAAGGATTTTTAACTGAAGCTTAATAAAGTTTTCTATGATGACATCTTGCTAAAATGAAGATCATGTGCTAAGAACACAGTAATAGAAAATCTATATTCTATGATAATAAATAACAGTGACACTTACTATTCATTGCACCACACTCTGTTCTGCATATGGATGTCACTGAACGACACCGACTTTGTTCGGGAGATATTACCCCATTCTATCATGGGAAATGAGGCTCAGAGATGCTCAGCCATTCGCTCCAGGTCTACCAGTGGAGGAGACAAAATCAGGGCCTGTGTGTTGGATCACTGCATGCTACTGCTTCCCACAAATATGTCTACTTTATTCCTGTAATTCCTTTGGAACCTGTCTGTCCTTTTAAGTCTAACTTAAACACAATTTCATTAAGTTTAGTTATGTGATCACCAGTATCAAAAGTTGTCTGATATTATTATATATTATATAAATTTATACACACACACACACACACACACAAACACAAACTCCTATAAATATTTTGGTTTTGTTCCATGGTTCCTGCCCCACAAATTACTTCTCAAGGTGGGGCCAAAGACACTCTAATCTTGCTCCTGCTCTTCTGTCTTGGAGCCGGCCATAAAAACTGTCTGAGCTGATCTTTTCTGACAGTAGCACTGTAAGTCCTAAGACCCTTCCTCATTCCATGAGGAATCCTAGGATTCTTCCAATCCTAGAGGGAGGAATGTGGCAGAGAGGCCAAGGACACAGCTGAGGAGGACACGCCTTGGTGGATTCCTGCACACAGTCTATTAGCAACCACATCTACAAATGACCTTTCCATAAAACCTTAAAGAGAGGGCTCAAGAACTTTCAGATAGCTGAACACATGGAGATTCCTGGAGGCCACATGCCAAGAGAGGGTGGGACATCCACACTCTTTTCCCATGCCCTGTTCCTGGCATCCCTTCACATGTACCCTTTGTAAAGTTCTTTACAACAAATTGGTTAAAGTGTTTCCCTGGGTCCTATGAGCTGCTCAAGTAAATTAATTGAACCTAAGGAGGGGGCTGTGGGAACCCTGATTTGTAGCTGCTGGTTAACAGGTAAAACTAGCTGGGGCTTGTGAGTGGTATCAAAAGGGGGTGGGACACAGCCTTGGGGGCTGAGCCTCAGCCTGTGGGATCTCATGCCACACCTAAGTAGACAGTGTCAGACAACTGGTGTCCTCTGGTGCAAACACTATCACTTGCTTGGTATTGGGAAAACCCTCCAGCATTGTGCTGTGAGTATACAGCAGGACAAACAGTATGGGTCTCAATTGGGTGTTTGTTCTTTCCAGAAAAAGCATCAAATTAAAAAAAGTTCAGAGTAAAGATCCTGTATGCAAAAAAAAAAAAACCATTTAAAATAAAAAGTGGTGGAATAGGAATTTGGCATATCAAACAGGATTATGAAGGGTAGGGAAAACATAGCGTAGTTTGGGGAAGGAACAGGTAGAGACTCAGAAAACACAACTCCGTGTGCTAAATAACTATTATGCACCAGGTCTCCCCCCACCCCCACCCCCAGGTTCTATCCCCAGCCCTGGGGGAAGGGAAAGGAAGAAGGAAAACAAAAAAGGGAAGGAAAGAGAAAAGAAGAGAAACTGTGAGGAAAAGAGAAGACAGAGCCCAGACCAAACCTCGGAGAGGTTGCTCTAAAACGGAAGCTAGGTATGGTTAGCACACCTATAACCCCACCACTCAGGAGGCAGGAAGAGCTTATTTGAGGCTGAGTTGGGTTGTTACATAACAAGACGGTCTCAAACAAAAATGGAGATGCTTGTTGAGCACTGACAAGGAGTAAGAAGCTTTAGTTATCTGAAAACGTATCCAACCTAAAGACACAAGTGAGATATTCTTGCACTTAAAAAAAATTACTATTCAAATTTAAAATGGGTGTGGTGACATGTGCTTGTATTAGCAGCATTTGGGAAGTAAAGATAGGAGGATCAAGTGTTCAAGGCCATCCTCTGCTACATCACTAGGTTCCATGCCTGCCTGGGCTACATGACACCCTGTCTATAAATAAATAAATAAATAAATAAATAAATAAATAAAACTTAGAAAATAACATATGTAGGAAATCCCTAAACCAACTTTGTGCATGTGGGGATTTTTCATTTGCTGTCCTGTCTATAATTGTCTGGTATTTTTTCCCTAAACAACAGTATCAGCCCTGGGTTTTTACTAAGTGAAAATTCTTGATAAATTCAAGGCATTATGCCAACAAATAATGGCATGAGAGTAGTGTTTGGAAGGGCCAGAGATTCAGAACAGAAACATGCATACATCTGTGCAACGTGGCCACACACTTTCAGTTTGAAAATCAGTCAAACACAAGGGCTGGGCTCCTCCCCTTATTCAAAAACTTTTCCCCTTTCATCCCTTATTGCCTTAAGACTGTTGTGAATAGGGGAATAAAACGCTGCCAGAAAGAATGAGCTAAGCAACATATATGAACTGTAGTAATAAAACTGTGAACGTTTCATTCATTAGCTGCCTCTCAGGAAGCATGCCATGCCCCTTTAAGCAGTGACAACACTACCTCCTGCATGGCCTCCCCACTCCCCATCCTGTACTGCTGGCCCAAGGGTAAACCCTGGTGCCCACTAGGCTTGATTACCCCTGATGCAGCCCTGCCATCGGCGTCTCTCTCAAGGGGAAGAGCTTGGGATAGACGAAGGTAAACATGGGCTCACTACACCGGTGACAGTGCCCCAGGGGGCAGTGGAGCAGCTCCAGGAGACTTCTGGGTAATGAGATTGGAGACAAAAAGTTCAAATCTGGAACACAAGAGAAAATCAGACACATGAGTGAAAAATCCCATTTCCTTAAACCAGACTTTAAAATACTTCTTTGTTACTAAGTTCAAATAGTTAAAAGTACTTCATGTTGAAAATTCTGTTATCTGATAGGTATTCAATAAAAAAATCTAACATTATTAGGAAATGAAAGAATTTTTTTTAATATTTTTGATGCTAAAAGAAAATGAAAATCCACTCTTTTTTAAGAGCAACCAGAAGCTGTCCTGAGGCAGAGGCAAGGAAAGAATGAGATCAAATAGTCTTTAGGAACAAGGATCAAAAAGGCTTGCATATAAGAATCAGAGAATTAAAGGAGAACTGGGTCGAAGACTGTCACTAACTTCCACTAAGTTCTCCCCAATCTACCAGATACGTGGTCAGTCAAGTGCCAAACAAGCCTAAATTATGGAAAGGCTAATTACTGAAAAGAATCAAATGCTGGACTCAAAGAGAATGAAAAATAAGAGAACAACTTTTCCTAGTCTCATTCTTAATTCATTCTGAACAAAAATAGGGGACTTTCCTTCCCAGCTTAGTCTGAGCTACACACGAGTTCTTAAAGCCAGCCATCACAGCCACCCAGCAGTCCTGACACACATTCACATTGGTTTTCTTTACTGATGGTAACATTGCAACAGAGGCAAGAATGCTCAAAATGAGGTGACATCCAAACCTTACCAGCTCATCTTGGCAAAGGAAACAAACTGCCTTTTTAACATTTTATATCCCCAAGACTGATCAGTAGCCACTTAGAAAAACGTAATTTATATAAAGTGAGTAACTAGAAGCTGGGATTATAGGTGTGCACTGTTTTTTTTTTTTTTTTTTTTTTTTTTTTTTTTTTTTAAGAAAAACAAAACAGCTTAAGCTTGGTAGGTAAAAGTGCTTGCCATCAAGCCTGATGGACTGAGTTTGATCTGGTAGAAGGAGAGAACTGACTTTCCCAAGTTGGCCTCTGACCTCCAACACTGTGGCATGCATGTGTCTATATGTACATGTGCATGCACAAACACAGACACTATAAGTAAATGGATGTTTTTTAACGAACAGCTTAATTTTGTACTAACTAGACATTCCTGGGAGGTTAAGGCAAGTTTTTTTTGGTTATTGTCATTTTAGTGGATCACCCACCCCACCCCAATACAAAGCTACAGCATTTAGCAGCCTTAAAAACATGAAATTTATTTTTCTTATTAACACTGCTTCATCTGTTTGTTCGCTTGTTCATTCTTCCTCCCTTCTCTCCCTGGTCTTTGGTACTAGAATTGGTTTCAGGTGCTTGCACACGAGCCACCACTGAGCCACAATCCCCATCTTACCTAGTCCCTTCTTGAGGTGTTTCAGACACATGCCCCACTAAACCAACAGAATCTACGTGCTGCCAGACAGTTTCCAAAACAGCCATTGGCACGCTGTCATGATTCTGCCAAAGGCTCCTGGTATTTCTTTTCCTTACAATTGTTGGATGTGAGGAGCCAGAAAGACAAAACCCAGGTCTGCTGGAGCAGAGATTAACTGCTGTAAGAATAAGACCTTTCCCTTTCACTTCAATCACATGCAGGTCCAAACACTAGTTTCTCTCACTCAATCAAGGTTAACTTGGAAGTGCTGGCCTTTATGATTGAAAATCACATTTTAATGAATGCTTTTCTGTGTCTTTTGGGGGGTACCAAAGGGACCAGGGCTGAAAATGTTAAAACTCTTTTAAGAAAAGTCTCAGCTTAGCACAATGGCACATGCCTGACCAGCTACTTGAGAGGAACAGGAAGGTCACTAATATGCATAATATCACTGTACTATACACTTGGTTAAAACTGTACACAGTTTTGTGAGATGTATATTTATTAGTGTGCTGGATAGCTTTAGTGTCAAGTTGACACACCTGGGTTGAGGGAGCCTCAATTGGGGAGTTGCCTCTATTGGACTGGCCTGTGGCCATATCTATGGGGCATCTTCTTGATGAGTGATGTGGGAGGGCCCAGCCCACTGTGGGTGGTGCCACCCCTGGGCAGGTGGGCCTGTGTTGCATAAGAAAGCAGGCTGAGCAGGGGCCAGGGGACCAAGCCAGTAAACAGTGTTCCTCCATGGCCTGTGCTCCAGCTCCTGCCTCCAGGTTCCTGCCCTGAGTTCCTACCTTGGGCTCCCTGATGAA